TGGGGGGTCTGGGTTGAGGTGGGTGGCTCCGGGTTGAGGTGGGTGGCTCTGGGTTAGGGTGAGGGTTTCCGGGTTAAGGTGAGGGGCTTTGGGCTGGTGGGTGGGCCCGCCTGCGCTGTCCCCAGGGTATGAGTTGGACGCTGCCACCTTCAGCCCTCAAACACCCGCAAATCATCGCGTTTTTAAATCCTCCACATGCTCTGTGCGGCAGGTGTGTATGTTCACCCTCAGGAGGACCTTTATAAACTGACACGTTTTATCGCCCCTTGGCCTGTAGCACATCAGTCGCGTTTCCCCGGGAGCGGGCTGTGCTGGGCCACATGCCACAGGTGGGAGCTGTGCGCCTCGTCCCCAGGGGGAAAGTCTACAAACAGATCTTCGAGGCTGAGGTAAAAAAAAAAAGAAAAAAGATTGGGTAAAAGCCAAATGAGTTAAATACGTTGGTCAGTTGTTTGGCAGCTGCTGAAGTGGTGACCTCAAAACCAGAGGTCATCTTCAACCTTTCTGGTTTCTGTTTGGTTTGGTAAATAATAATCGTGTTATCTTCAGCATATGCTTTGTGATGTACCTATGGGGATTCCTCTGTCTTAGCTGTGTATCGGGATATGCTGACTGAAGGCAGAATCATTATGACACAGCAGTAAAAGATAAATTAAAAAGCACACTGAGTCAGACCCAGGCGTTTTTCACCACTGTTGACTTTCTTTGTAACCGTAGACAATTCACACAATCCAGTTTGCTTGTGTTTTACTTACTATGTAACCGTAAACAGTTCACACAATCCAGTTTGCTTGTGTTTTACTTTCTGAGGAAAGGGACATCTTTTTTTTTTTCTCATTTTGAGAACAGCCTTTGATGAAAATTGCTATGTGTGTGCCAAGCGGTTTTCATTATTTTACCTTTCTCCTCTGCCCACTATTTTTATCAACTGTTCTGTTACTCTCTTCAGTAGGTTGGAAAGAATTCTAACCATTTTGCTTATGGTCCTTTGAAGGTTCAGTTAGTACGCTCTTTGGATGAAGTAAGGAAGAGCAGATTTTCTGTAAAGAATGAAGGGCTCGGTTTGACTAGAGATTCAGAAATTTCTGCTGATGCCAAGCTACTACCGTGTTACCAGGAGAAGTATGTTGCAGGAACGCCCTGCAGTGACTCTGCAGCAACACCACTGCTGTACAGGTAGAGAACAGAAGCATAACCCCCCAGTAATATATTAATGTCTATAGGTGTGAAGTTGTAAGGTTTGCACTGGGAGTTAGGCGCTGCTGGATTCTTGGTTGTGGAACTAACGACTTGTAGTAGGCTGTCCTCTCGCTAGATGTAAGCTGAGTATAATGGGCTGCTGTCCATTAAGACACAGACTGCCAGGCTAAGACCTGCAATGGTACACATACTGTATTGCTTTTCTTTTAAATTTAAATTGTATCTTTTTTCTTCAAAGCAATCTAGATATTAGCCCAGCCTGATATATGTTTTTTAAATGTATTTTAAGCTACATTAATGATTTACATGATGATGCAGTAATGATCATGTAATGAGCAAACAAGGAAATTAGTGAACCCATCCTTCTCACCCTAACTGTTCTGCTGGATAATGACACCCTTATTATCATTTACTCTAGGGAGAAACATCAGCTGCAGCTGATTGGAACAGCAGTGGGCAGATAAAGGCTATTTCCATGGTTCTTGCCAGTTCTTACTTAACAATATTTTGATTTTCATACCATTTAGAGATAGAATATATGTCTTTGTAGCTTACACATATTAAATCTAGCATTTATTGCTTTTATGCTGCTATAGCAGATTTGAGATTGTGAACAACTCAGACTAGAAAACTACTCAGTCCAATTCACATCAGAAGCAGCAACACTGATTCTTTGAATTGCATTATTGGAAGGTAGAATGATGCTTATGTTCACTTAAATGTTACTTTTTGCCAATTAAGTTCAATGTTATACTCAATGCAAGTTGCTCCTTTTATGTACTTAATACAAATCAAAGCTTTACTCTCTGTTTCAGAGAAGCTACAATATCTCAAAAGGTTTGGAAAAGTGAGGATGTAAATGCAGCTGAGGAAGTCAGAGGCCTACCTGATTTTGATGGTAAGTTTTATTTCCGTTAATGTGAGATATTTTAATTTGCGTTCTTAGGAGATACCATACATATAACGGTTTTAGCTGAAGCAAGGCATAAAATCCCGATTCATTGTGCGCGAGTTATGTATTCTGCAAACAGTTCCAAGCAACTTTGTTCTTTTTTTTTTTTTTTTTCCTCAGCAGTTCCTGAGGAAACACGGATTAGTATCTTGGAAGGTCTGTCAGAACGCCGGCGAGGCCGTCATGATGAAGCTCTAACCTCATTGTACCATGAACTTGCCTGCATTGGCAGGGTGAGACTGGATTTTGTAATCTGGATCATCTAGAGCACTAATCCTGAAATCAGGGCCTAATATATTTAAAAAATCAGGCTGCATTCCTTACTTTCTCAGGAGCTGGAACCCTTTATTTTAGAGCCTGGAAAATTCCTTCTGACAAAACTGATGGAATCTGATAGAAAAACTGAACTTCTGCTTGAAGAGATTGAGTTTGACAGTACTCTGGAAGGTTTCTCCATTGAAGTAAGGCAGCTTGTGCCAGTGTCTCATCTTCAGTTATTTGTACCTGGTCTGCATAACAGAGCTTCTTGTGTCTTGCTCTGGTATCGAGATACAAATGCTTCTTCATCTATTTTTGTTTATTTTTACATTTACTTTTCAATGAGATTGAGAATAAATCCTTCCTGCAGGGTTTGGAAGAACTGTGGAATGCCATCCATCAGGAATCCTTGACCAGAAGGAAGTGGATTAGGGAAATGGATGAATCCCTAAAAAAGATTGAAAGCAGTCGAGCTGATAAAGTGAGCTGTAGTCTTAATAGCTGTTAATTAAGCATAAGATTATTATTTGCTTGTAATGCTGGATGCAAAGCAAAGCGTAGCTTGTTTCTGCAGGAGTCAGAGGTATGCCAGAGGGTGATTGCTGTCTCTCCACCAGATGGAAGCTATCTGTCATGCCTGTGTCCGTTTGTCCTCTCTTTTTTATGAAAAATACCAGAGGCGACTATGTTTGCTTAAATTTCATGTCCGCTTAAAACAGCCACTGGTGGATTCACTTCAGATATTTGAAAGGAAGTTGGTTTGATTATTAAATTCATATTGCAGGCTGTCTGCAGAGCAGTCAGTTGTCACAGATATCAAGAGAAATCAGCTAAATGGAAACAAAGTAGAATGTTTTAGTTAGTATTTTTAGGATTTATTAAAAAAATCAGGATAAAAGATGTAGGATATTTAAAATAGATGTTTTAATATTCACTTCTCAATCTGTCAGCCAATCGAATTTATTTTAATGGAAAAAAATTGTCTTGTTCATATCATTGCTCAACTTGGGAAACTGACATCTGAGTTGTACATTTTTTTATTGTTTCCTTTTTTTTGTTCTTCTTTTATTGAACAGATAACAGATGTACTGAGGAAGTATACTTTGATACTGGAGGAAATTTCCTTCTTCTTGCCAGCTGATGTTTACAGGTTCATGAATGATGAGGCCATGGTAAATCTTTCCTACTGAGAGTCTGTTTTACCCATGAGAAGAGATCAGTCTGAATTTTCCCAGAATATAATTTTCTGCAACAGAAATTCATTATTTCTACCTATCAATCACTTCAGTATAGGAGCAGGTTATTCTATTTTGCAGGATATTCTTTATCATTTGTATTTTTCCCCTCATTTTACACAGAACAGGGAATATTTTTTTTCATCATTGTATGCTGCGTTTATTCCTGGTTTTATTTTTTAATATGCAGATGATTAACAGAGCATTGTTGGCTAATCAGAGGGCAATTGCCAAGCTGTTCTTTAATCTAATGAAATCAGAGATGAAGAGGGAATTATCATATCAATTGAAATGGCAGGATAGAGTCAAGGACTGGAAGCTCATCCGAAAGAACTCTGTAGTTCACAGTTTCAGGTCAGAAATTTTACGATTACATTTTGAGGTATGAATAACACAAATGAACACTAGTCACATATTTAGTCTTTTTTTTCATTGTAAAACTAAAAAGAAAGAACTTAGCATTCTATTTTTATGTATAAAAATATTTTGTATTTGTATTCTGAACATGAAATTTTCCCAAGCAGATATTCACTTCAATGTATTCTTCCACCCAACAGAGAATTTATGGCAAATGAAGAAATACAGAATCCCCCAACTGTGGAAAGAGAAATGGAAAATATGACGACTGATCATGTTTTACTTAGTGAAAGGAGAGCAGAGTTTTTGCAGCACCTTGGGTATGACAAAAGAGAAAACAGGAACAAAGGAAAATAGAATTCTTTCAACAGTTAATGAGAGACTTGACTACAAAATGCACTTTTCTCTCTTTCACTGTGTGATTGTACAAAACAGCGATAAGGCAGGGCCTCGACTTCTTTCATAGAGTTCTTTTTACTGGAAAAAGTGCATTCTTGGTTTTCAACGCAACAGTTGCAGTAAGCAGGGGGTGGTGGAGGGCTAGAAATGACGGTACACAAAAGTAGATATTACTGATGTTTGAAACATGGTAGAAAGGGGCAGACAGGAATGGCAGATAAGTAAAAATTTATGAAGGCATTATTTCTATGTGGGAGTTTAATTTGCGTAATAAAATAAGAAGGGAGTTGTGACAGAAATCTAACACTGCTCTTTTTGAATGTCCATCCTGACAAGAAGATGGTTCGGGTGCGATGTGTTACGATATTTACAGTTTTTCTTTTACGATGTCTGTAGCAACAAGGTAGATTATAGTTAGTTCCTTGTCAGTAAGTGATGGCCTTGAAAAATATCAGTCATCTTGTTTTATTTTCATTGCTGATATGTCTGTAAATAACGCACAGTAGTGTGGTTACTTTGTTTCATAATCTTATCCTGTAAGAACTGACTGAGTTATATTTGAGGGTTTCTCACTCTTGTTTCCTATTTCTGTAGTGATTTATTGCCTCCAACACACACGAAAGCAGATATGAGTGAATGGTACAGATCCTTGGTGAATTTAAACAAAAGCATAGGTAAGTTGGGAAATAATAAAACCAGTCTGTAATTCAAGCACTTCTTTCTTTTTTTTCCTGGGCAGTAATGAGTCAGGTGGTTGTTTGATGTATGTTTTTTTTTCCAGATGTTTCCATGTACCTTCTAAGTTCTGAGTTAGCGATACAATCAGATAAGCTGTCTGTGGTACCCCCTCCCCTTTGCCAGCACAAGCATTTTCACTTGGTGAGATCTAGCGGGAACTGACTGGACTAAAATCAATCTGGGGAAAAATAGAAGGTTAATTTTAATTCAGATCAGCTCGCAAACATACAAAAATACTACTTCTTACCTCTTGGAGAATGAGGGGGGAAGTATTTGAGATGCTTCCTTACTCTGAGTCCTGTAGTGTGCCTTCCCTTCTCTCTCTCCAGAGCACATCCTGTCTTAATGTTTGTAGCCTGGATAGTAGCAAAGAAGCTGCTAGCGATTGTCAATAACTCACTGCTTTTAGGGATAATGCTAAAAAGGTTTGTATTAAACATTTTATTGGTTGTGTCATAGAAATATGAAGACACCACTGGGATATACTACCTGTGCTGAGTCTCAGCACGGGCCCTCTGTCACGTTTCCATTTCACATTGCACTATGAAATACGGAAATCTTTGCAATGGCCTGTTCTTCTGTGTCCTTCAGATACCCACAATGTGCAGCGTATGGTGAAAATACGCATCCAGTACGAGCTGGTCCAGCAGAAGTGTATGGCAGAAGTGCAGCGCTGCACGGTTAGTGTGGTGGCTTTGCCAGTTCTTGGAAGGATCGTTGGTAACAGCGTATGATGTGTTGCTGCAGTAACACATGTTTGAGGATCCACCAAATCTTGAATTAACAAGTGAAATTGCTTTTTAACCTCTGTCTTATTCTGCTAGAAAACTTACTGTCCACGGTGCTTTATAGTAGCATTTGGTATTTATATCTGAAAACATAAAAGCAGTAATAAATGCCAGTAATAAAAGGAGTCCTCTCCCACATTTAGGTAGAAGTCGTCAGGTCAGAACCCCAGCCTTTGTGCCGAATCTGTCTTATCTTGGAAAAGAAATTCCACTTCTCTGTCTCAGTTTCTCTCTTTGTGTCCAAGTAAAATTGTACTGTTTGCTAACAGAATGTGAGACCTGTGGGGTTGAACCTTTCTCCATCCATTCACAAGAAAGAAAAAAAGAAAAACGCTAAGTTTAGCCATGCTCTCTCAAAGCCACACAATATTTGTTGTATTATACGAGTGTCAATAACTTTCTTTTTACATTCTTTTAATTTAGAGTAGCCTATTGAATCTGAACATTTGCACGAAAGAAGAGGCTGAAGAAATTGTGAATTCTGAGCTACTTCAGTTGACTGAGAAACTAAAAAGTCGGTTTGAAGAAGAACTGAAGCAGATGGATGTATGTTTATTACATTTATTTTTATTGCTTTCTGGCAGTAGTCTGTTCTTCCTGCCTGAAATGCCACATGCATCTTAGGCTATCGATGTCATGTTCATAGTGCGACTGAACACCCCCCCTCAAATAAAAAATGTTTGGTGTGATTCAAGGGGAAGAATTTGTAAATTTTTTGGCTTATATTAATAATAAGTTGTCAGGGATTAACTAGATGTAGTCTGTCCTGCCTGGACGCAAAGGAATAGTTTTAAAATGATCTTCCAAGTCTCTTTTTATGATTCCATACGTGGGGCTGTTTTTCCTAAAATGATAGATGACCAGATGCTTCAGGACATATGCAGAACTTGGCAATTCTGTGCACATTCTTATCTAGTTTACCTGGACTATTTTTTTCTCTCCAAGTAAAAGAGGTCTTGCAGAATACTGAAAGTGTACTTCCAGACAGCCTTTTATCATATCATATGGCTCTTTACTTGTTTATTTTACCTTCCAGCAAACAGTTTGATAACAGCCATTTCCCTTAAATGTATTTCTTTAGAGAGACTTTGAGGAGCTGGCTAAACAGAACGAGCAGAGTTGTAGAGACTTGTACAGCTACTTTCAGGAGGCCATGGATCTCTGGGATGTCCATCGATCCAAACTGTCCCAGCAGGAGGGTGAACTTCAGAAGAAATTAGGTGAATGCCGACAGAAACAGGATAACTCAATACAGGTATAAACGTAAAAATAAGGATGGGGTATGATGTAAAGAAAGGACTTCTTAATGCAGACAGCCCTATCAAGTTCAAAATAGCTAGTATAAAATTTGAAACATCATCTTTGGCATTTATACTGAAATTTCTACAAAATAGTTTCATCCTGTCATGTACATTTTTTGCCAACGGCTTGATTCACACTTAATGAGCATTCATATCTTATTCTTGGTATGACAATGATCATAAAGGTTATATTTTCTTATATTAAGTAGCTGCAAGTTTCTGTTACTCGTAAGGTCTTGTGCAGGGATAGAGTCTTGTTTGTATGTCAGGTTCTCCTATCATGCAGCTTTGGATGGCAACATCAAAGATGTTCATTATCTATGAAAGATTTTCATAATAGGTAAGTTTTAGTAAGATAACTTCCCTTCTTGGTGTAGAATATATGTTCATAAATCAAATTATTTGAATCCTAAATAGTTATGAAACATTTTAGTCATTACTAAATCATATTTACTGGGTTCTTTTTCTGTGACCTTAGATGATGGAAACTAAGCTGGATGTAATTTTGGATAAAATGAGAACAGAGAGCTCTGAAGAAAAGATGAAGAAATATTTAGAGAATGCCCTTTCTTCTTTAGATGGCATTAGAGCTAGGTATGACTTTTGTAGTACAAATTTAACAAGTAAAGCATATTTGAATGCTGGTTGTGCTGCTTAGCTCTTGGTTATGCCGTAGTGCAAAATTGTGGAAAAACACTGCTTGCGACTTCATGTAAGAATGTAAAATAAAATAATTTCCATACTGAACAAGATTAAGGCAAATAATACCCACATTTTAGAAGTAGGACTAAGGAAGACCAAGGAATACTGGTATCATTTAAAAAATATACCAGATGAGTATTACTGTGTAGAATACAGTGTCATCCATGCCAAGGGGATAATTATTTATTCAGAAGGTGAAGATTCTTGAATCACAGACTTCAGAAAGTAGATCTCTGCCATCTCCTGTGCTCTGGGCTTGTGGATTTGGTGTCTTTCAAAGATGAAAATCATAGAAGTTACTAATAACCTTCAGATAGCCAAAATATATGTTTTGATAATCTTTGTTTGTCGTGATCAGGCTGTTGCATTTTTAAAAATCACATCAGAATCGGCACGTACCGCTCTCCTTGCTGAAGGTCCTAGCAGAAGGTTTGAGGATTAAATAGCAGAGAGAAAGCAGAGCTTCCTCACACCCAGAGGGTTTTTTCTGTCTGTTAGGCTGGAGGCGTGTTAGAAGAGCAACTTGGACCTGAGAGGCAGATACACACACCTGCACACACCTCATGCTGTAGTTGTGCTTGGAGGTCTTGGTTCAGTACTCTTTGTATTCATTAGGACAATTAAAAAAACCCTATCCCAGAGTAATGTACCTGTTTAGGTGAGTGAAAAGGCAGTGAGAGCTTGCAGAGAAGAATGTCATCTATTTGAACATGTACATAAATACCACGTAATTATCTTTGTATAGGAGACAAAGCAAATACATGTGTAAGTGAAAACAGATGTGAACGTTGATTTTTCTTGAATCAAGACTTAACTTGAACCATAAGTTTTCGTTTTCAAGTAAAATGAAAATAAATTAGGATACCTTCAGCCACAGCTGAGCATAATACAGAACTAACATGAAGGGCAGGAATTTGACCTCTCACTTCTAACAGTCCTTACGCAAGGTCTTGAATGGCTTCCCATCCAAAATGAAAGATCTGAAATACCTTGTTTTGAATATTTCTTAACTTTTACGTATTTATACTGAACTAATCTTCAATAACAAGACAAGATATGATTGTTCAGGCTAAACAGATGCAGTAGAATGTTTAGCCTAAAGGGTTTATGAAACTGATCAAAAAGTTAGATTTGAATTTAAAGACATTGCAGTCCCATTTAATTTTATTTCTCTACATACTTGAGTCTATTAAACAGTAACCTTGATTTTGACAGGTATGAGAAACTCAACAAAGTTCTAATGGATGAAGTAGAGGCTTATCCAGAAGCTATTTTGTTGGAATTGGTTTCTTACAGCAGATCCATCAGCGAGTATTTTAATGTAAAGGAAATCTTCAAACAGGTATAAAGAAAACAAACTTCTACTTTCAAACCTTACTGGTGTATTAACTTTCCACTTTGGGGAAAATTTGGATTATATAAACTGAAGCACTGTTTTGGCTATAGGACTGAAGTGCTTTTGGTAGAAATACCTTTCTCTATCCTGCACTTTAACTCTGTCCTTGCTACAAACTGCATTTCAGTAAATTTGCTTTTAAAGAGAAAACTGCAAGGTAACATAATTACATTAATTGATACAAGTGTTATAGCTTCTTTAGAAGATGATACATTCAAAGCTATCGTATCTTATTGAAAGATATTCTGAGAAGGAGCATGGATTTCTTATAAGCAAGTAAATCCGTATTTTTAAATTTCATGGGTTTTTTTGCTTTTGGTGTTGTTTTGCTTTTAGAACTTGCAAGGAGAGATAGACTTCGCATTTCGAGATCAAGGTAATACACCAATGGTACAAACAGGTATTTTTGCTTATTTTTTTCAATCTGTATTTCTTTGACTTGTGACCAGTAAAACTCTGCTTTTGCTGGACAGAACTTCGTGAGGCTTCAGAAGCTGAATGTCAGCAGCAAGCTGAGAGCGTTGTGCAAGACAGTGAAGGAGAGGAAACAGCAAACAGTTGTCAACAAGAAAATGAAGAAACAAACAGAGCTGAGAACAAAGAGATCTTTGCACATGAAACAGAGGGAAAAGAAGATGGGGAGAGTATTGTTCATGAAAGTCAAGAAAGAGAACATGCAGAGCAAGGGGTAAGCTTTACATGCGTAAGTGAACGAGACAATAAATTGGAAAATTAAGGAAGTCTTTGCACAAAATATAATGATGAATATGAAGTCTTTTTGCTAAAGTAAGTCTAAATTCCTTCAAGTAGATTAGATTTAGTTTTGTACGCAAAGCACACAGGATCCTTTATTGCTTTCATTTATTTCTGGAATATTAGGGCTTTAAATCCTTTTTATGGGCAAATGGAGCGTATAAAACAGTTTACAACCATTCCTCTATCCTTGTAAAAATGCTTTGCATAGAATTTCTTTTTGAAATATCATTCTTGCATCATAGTATTCTCAACCCGTGGTGAATGATTTAAACTGTGTGTGTGTCTAAGTATTAGTTTTTCTGGCCGTTAGTTACGTTAATTTATTACAATAAGAAAAACATTATTCTTAATATCCTTGGGATTCTTACATTAGATTGTGCACTGTTGATTCTTTGCTTATAAAGGTACCAGATGATGATTTCCAGTTGTTTCCTAGGCTATGTGCAAGAGCAGCAATGCAGAAAGGTCTGAAATTGCCACTGAGACCTTTTCCACTTCTAGTGGAAACACTTACACGGTTCTTGGAATTGAAGAGGCAGGGAAGACTGACATTCCAGAAACTTATTTTGCAAAATATGAAAAAAAGGAATCACTTCCTCTGTACCTGAAATATGTACTTATCAAAGAAACCATGGTTGTGGAGCTGAAGAAACGGTTAGTAGAAAACAGTTTATGTTCTTTCTTTGCATGTAAGTATTAGACAAATTTCAACTGTTTGGGAGATGCAAAGATGCAAAAATTATCTAATTGTTTTGGTGTTGTTCCTCCTTTAAAATGGATAAAAATTTATATTACTTTTCATCCATGGCTCTCAATGTACCAACAAGCATTTACCTCTTACGGGATGTTAGTATCTTCCAGAAAATTATATAATGAGAAAACGTATTACAGGAAGGCAGAGCCATGAAAGCAAAATGTCTCATATTCAGTAGTATGTAGCCAGCTCAAAAACTCTGCCAGTATTGTGCAAATGGTAATGAAACCATGTTTTCCTATAGTCAGAATTTAAATTCTTAAATTAATATATTTCATAATTACTATTTATTAATTACTGTTCCTCACTGTAACATTTCTTTTTAAATCACAGGATTCGCCTCTACTTTTTTGAACACTTGGAGAAATGGTTTGCAGAGTCCTTATCCAACTCCTCTGTCTTTGTAGATGCCAAGAAAGAAGAGTTAAATTCAGAACTTCAGCTGCGCCTTCGCTTGCATCAGCAAAGGCAGGAGAATATAGAGAAAAATATCTACAATGTTAGAGCTGGTACTGACTTTATTTTTCACTGTGGGCACGACATGTCTTTATCTACAGACAATCATAAGCAGACCAAAATCTGCTTCAGCATCACTTGGCTCAGTAGTAGAGGACAAGAGGAAGCCGTTGAACGTCTACTAACTCCTAGTGTAGTATGTCAGCAGTGACCAAAAATACAGGAAGAAGAAGGCTTAGAGCAAACAAAAGACATTTATGATTTGAATTAATTAGAAACTGCCAGGGTTATATGTAAAGCACAGGAGAAAAGTCAAAGAGATGGAATCAGATATATTTTATTTGTATGTTTTAGCCACTCTGAGATATGTGTCAGTTTATTTTACTGCTACTCATGATAACAGGTTGGTGGGTGGTTGTGATAGTCCTCAGTAAACAGGGAATAGTGACTATCTTGTAAAATTTCTTTTCTTGTCAGTGGAACTGTCTCTTCACAAAGAGCATCTCGAGTGCCACTGTGCTGGGCTGGTGGAAGCTATGAAAAAGGAGAGAGCTGAATTTCTCAAATTTTGTGATCAGCAGGATAACCTCAGCAAAAACTTACATTCACGCCTCCGTGATATAGAGTCTGTCTTCCTCAGTGCCCCCATGACTAAGTAAGTGTGCTGCAGGTGTTGCTGGCAGTGAATTAAATATTCCTGATGGCTGTCTGAGGTGTTCCGACTTTGCATTCCAAATCTATTTTATGTGTCATTACTCTTCAGTGAAGACTGCTTCATGGAACTTTAAAAAAAAAGTAAAGAATTTTTATTTCCTTTTTATCTCCCTGAAGAAATTAAAATCAGTACTGAATGGATGACAATTTTCATATATTTTCAAAGTGCTGGCATTCTTAAAGTAGGAAAGATCTTTCATCTGTTTAGATTTTATCCAGTTCACTGAACCTGCATAATAATTAGTTTTGGAGGATGTTCTTCAATAGCATCAACTGCTTGCTGGTATCTTCTCAGTGTTCATTGAAACAACCACAATGCAGTGAGTGGCTTTCAGAACACTAAATTGTTTTGGAGTTCTCAGATTTTGTTCATGTCTTTACAGCCAACAGTCTATAAATCATAATGTGTGGTTCTGTTTTCTTCTGTCTTTCCCTTATCTTTTATTATTTGCTGCTAGGTTAGTTTCTTTCAGCAACAGTGTGCACTCAGAGCTACAGAATCATCTGGAAGTGATCCAGGTTTCCCTGCGGAGTTACCGGAGCTATTTGGAGGAAGCTTTAGGAAAATTAAGGGATTCAAATGTGGATTTTCTCAAAGCTTGCAGGTAGAGAGATTTCACTGGAGTGTTCTTATCGATAGTTACCTATTTCTGGGCATCAGTGCTTGTTGCATAGGCAGAACAGTAAAATTCAGGTTTGTTTTGTTGTTCATTTAGTTTAGTATTTAAAAAAAAAAACCCTCAAATTTATTTTGTTAAGCCACAATTATTTTAATGCTTTCATCACTTTGTGTTGATATCTATGTTTTAGGGCTACTTAACTGTAAGAGTCGTTGCAAAAAGAAGACTCGTAGCCAATTGCTTTTACTTTGCTGGTTGCTTTCAGATTATTTTCGGAGGGAGGTAACTTTTCTCCTCCAGAGGTAAAATCTTTCAGCAAGCGTCTTCAGAAAGAAAGCAAGCATATTGACTCTTTTGAAAGATCGATCAAGACAGATATGGAGAAAATGGAATCGAGCTGTTTGAAGCAGGTGTGCAGAGCTTCATTCTTTCAAGTTATGTATTATATTGGCATATTCGATGTGATTTATAATCAGCCTGCTCCCAGATCAGGACTGTAAGATTGTTTTATGTGGCAATTAAGTAACGGGAAAAAAGAACCCACAAAAATTGTGAGTTCTATCAGTTTTAAAAAGTGAAAATTAGTTCTGTTTCTGTTTCTGGCATTCCGGAAGGCTACTGAACTTATCAATGAGGCTGAAAAAAAGTTCCATTATCTCCTTACAAATCGAACCTTTATGGAGAAGATTCAACGATTTTTGTCAAATCTGCGAGTGAAAATCAACTCAGAGGTACAAACAAACATCAGAAATTTGTTAAAATGAACTATAGTAATTTCTCTTTTACTTCATTGGAGAGATTTTTGGCTGAATTTCGGGTGGAAAAACATTAAGTGAATTATCATATTAGTTTAAAAACTGGTTTCTGTCATTATTAGCTTAAAATTATGTTTTTACTACTGCTGCAGCTATGCTGGGACACTATGGTCTTGCAGGACATTGAATATGTACATCTGAATAGACCAGCATTTTTCTGTGGTGCAGGAAAGGACATGGAGGGTTGCTCTTGTGAATTATTTTTTCTCAACTTCTCCTCTGAGTGCCAGTGATTGAGTGGTTTTTGAGTGGTTTAAAAGTGGAGCCTCTGGAAAATCTCTGGAATAGAATTTCGCTTCACCAATATCTGCTTCTTCTTTAGGTAGCAAATTCTAATTTTCAGGCAGCGACATTAAACTCTTATCTGGAGCAGCTCCATCAGAAGATAGATGCTTGTACTCATCCTACTGCAGATAAAGAGGTCAGTTCTAGTCAGCACAATTTATGTATTTAAAATTTGACCTTAATTTTTTTTTTAAAAAAATTGTACTTAATTTGACTTGCTATTAATTTCCTTCACTGTGCATGTTTGTATAACGTATAAACTAATATTTTTAAGGCAGACTTATGTTTGCTCAGGAAGGTTCTGTACATGTTTTCGTGTTGGCCAAACAAAAACCTCAGCCTCTACACAAACTCTTTGCTTCTGTGTCTGCGTAAATAAAATGGTGACAGCACAAAGTCACATGATGTTTTACGAATAGTCGGTATGTTTGAAAAGTCTAAAATAGCTAGTTTAGTAAATTCCATCTGTATTATCATATCTTTTCAGGCTGTGTCTTCTGAAGAGTTGTATGATTTTGCTAAAGTGGTGTTGAAAGAACTGAAAAAGAGGAGCCAGTATCTCGACTGCTTGCTAGTGAAAGCAGCAAGCCCGCAGGAGGATGTAAGATAGCGTTTAATTTCTCTATATTCTAGAACTGAGTTGCTCAGTTCTTTGCAAGAGTTTGTTTTCAAGGTATAGCACTATTCATAGATGTGAATTCATAGATGGGTTTCTTTGGATAGTTAAAAACAGTTAAAATGTGTCCTGGAGAGGTTTGAGTTTTTTAATCAAGTGGGTTTGTTGGGGTTTTTTTTCCTTCTTTTTCTGAAAGAGTTTCTTTATTTTGTAATCTATAGTGGATCATTAAGGCTATATACTCAAATGCTGCTCATGATAATGAGAATCTACTCATCACTACTTATAAGTGTCTCAGAGTTGTCTAGCTGTAACAGCATTACTACTAGAATTATTAAAAAATTTCTTTCAGCCTGTAAAGCACAATAGTGCATGTTTGGAAGATCTGCTTTAGGAATCGGTAACTACATGTCGTGTTGTCACTAATTGCCTGCTGTGGTCAACGGAGTTTCATTTTTCTTCCCATTTCAGGAGGATTTCACCCCTCTTGCCACAGATGTTACGTTACAAGGTCCAGTTGCTGTTGCCATTCGAACAGAGCGTTGCAGAGATGACAACAAAATTATGATGATAGGGCTGGATCCTGTTAAATTTCCTTTGTTAAATCCAAGCAGAAGGGGAAAGTCTCCACTTGATGATTTATCAATAAGTGTTATCAAAAATTTACTTGAGTAAGTTCTTGTTTGTCTACAGGTATTTTTCTGTCATTGTCTTTGTATTTTCTTTGAGATATATATATGAATATATATATACACACATACATATATATAATATAATTAATATATATGTAATATATATATATGTGTATATATATATTATATATATGTATGTTCTATTCCTGAGGCTCATGAAACACTACAAGCTACTTCCCTGCAGTATTTTTTTAATTTATATTCCAGTTGCATATCAAGGTTTTCCTGAATTCACCTTTTTTATATACAGAAATTTAAATATATTGTTCATAGGTAATACTGCTACGTACTTTCTGATCATTCTGGCTTTAAAAATCAGTCTAGATGAGACTACTTTCTTTTTAAAAGCATGATTTCTAATAGCCAAAAGTACCACGTTGTGAGTAATGAGTGACATCTAATTAGTAGCATTATGATAAATTTTAGGTATTAAATTTTTGTCTTCTACAGTATTGTTTTAGTTAAAAGGTGATTACATGCAACATAGTTGAAGGAACATATAAAGTGTGAAATGAACAGTATATAGACATGTGATTTGCAAATAAATATTTTAATGCAAAGTTCTTCTTGTGGAAATTCTGAAATTCCTGTTAAACAATTAGTTACTCCCATGAGAGTACCTATATTTACACAGTCAGCGGTAAAAATAATCCTGTCTGTTAAATATCTCAGAGTTTTAACTGCACTTAGCTCATGGTATGGATAGAGACCTTATGTAGTTCTTGATCTAATATATAATATAGTACATAACATAAAATGCAGGGTATTCAATAGCCACTTAGTTCTTTTGTTTGTTTCAGAATTCAGCCGTCCAGAAAATCTGCAGACCTAAACCAGGAGAGAACTGATAGTTCATTAGGACCAGGTGTGCCAGCATTTCTTGTAATATATCACACTTACCTAAACTGTAGTTTCTAGTGTATCCCTGAGCAAGTCTGGGCTGCTCCAGGCCAGTGGCTGACATAGTAGCTCTGACAGAGTTGTGCATCCCAGCTTTTTTCTTGGGTATCTTTACCTTGCAATAAGAAGATGATTTTTGGCTCTTAACCAACGAATGCTGTAGGGTGAGATAATGAGTTCATAAAGAGCAAAAGCCACATATTATCAGCCACTCAAAGGCAAGTGCAGAGGTAACCCCAACTGCTCTCTACTTTGTGTTCTCATTTCTTTATAGCTCTTCTCCAGAGCTTGACTCCTCCAGCCCCCTCCCAAGATATCCTCTCTCTCTTCCACATTCCTAAGTCCCCATCACAGCCAAGGTTATGAATGTAGGCGGTTCATTCTCCTCCTGTCTCAATGTTGGTTTTATCTCCTCCCATCTACCACAAATGTTCTCTAATGTTCCCATTACTCATGCCCCAAAGTACAACCTTTATTGCAGTTGCCAGTGCTGGGTTGCTTCAGTTTTGTCTGCCAAAAATGATTGTTCCTACAGTTTTCCCTGTAATGTTATAAGGAAATGTTATAGAAATTAGAACACAAATGATATAACCATATAATAAAGACTTCTGTGGGCATTCATATAACGTTCTTTATCTTTGCATTTTGAATATAATGCAATTCTTCCCACGTCAAAGAAAAATTCTCACTTATGTGTATCTGATGAAGGTCATCAGAGCTCTGCTGCTCACAGCTCTGCAGCTCGGGTCAGCAAGAAGTCATCTCGTAAGAAAAAGATGCCAACAGAAAGGTGAGACACCTGAACCGTGAAATTCCACTTATAATATTCCTATGCAGAAAATTACCTAAACTTTATCCACTGCCTGTTCTTTGAGAAATTCATAATGCTCATTTGTATTAGCTTTCTTTCCAGCTGTGTCTATTATCTGGGTTCTCTTCCCTGTTTACCTCCTCGTGATCAGCTCTGCTTTGGGGGTTGTTTTCGGCTTTTGGCTGGAAAAATATTCTTTGTTTTCTCCTTCATCTGCTGTTATTTTGTATTTTGAAGTTGCTGAAGTACAGACTAACCTCCCCTCTTAAACAATACAGCTTCATTTTCAGGTCTGATGTCTAAACAGTATGTTTTCCCTCTCTAGGAAAAAGAAATCCATCACACCAGTTTTCAGTGACCAGAAATTCCAGATATTTGGAGAGAAGCCTCCAGAATCTGAGTAAGTCATGTATATTTGCAGAAATGGGTAGGGGTTTTTTGCGGATTAACTTCTATTTATCTATTTACAATGGTGAACTATAGAGTTCGCCATTGAATTCTGAAGTATTTAATCTTGATATTTATGAGTCAAAGTGTTTACAGAACAGTTCCTTTTTACGGCATAATAATAGTGAATATAAAACCAATCCATTTTGTTCAGTGTGATTGTCTTTTTTCTCTTTTTAAAAATTTTGTTTGTTTTCAGTAATTTTAAGGGGATTATCCTGAATATTCTCTGGACAGGTAATGACAGCCTGCTTTGCCTTGCTAAGGTAGGAAAACCCAGTGTTCTTCAGTCACTTTTACTTTCATAGGTCTACTCCTGTGCCAGCTCACTACTTTGGTTCTTTACAATATTTGGATGGCCATCCAAAAATGTTCCTTTCTTCACCAGCACCTAACTTTTAGATAGCATTTTACACAGTGTGTTTTTAACCACAGATTTCTTTATTAACTGGGCATTTCAGAATCAGAAGAAAGGTGGTCTGAAATAAGAGAGTTGCTGATGGCCTTGTCTTTCCTTGCTACTGTTATAGGCCTAATCGTGACTTGTTTGAGTTATCAGTAACTTTTCTGTTTTATCTTGACCTCCTGAAGGAGTTCTATAAAAAACAGAAGCCAAAAATCATAGTGCCTGAAGATCTGCCAGAGACATTTGAACATTGTGCAGAAGTGTTTAGGCAGAACCTGTTGTCATACCAAAGGCAAACAGATGATTACTACAATTCCTGTCTCATAGGTAAAGTCATTCAGTTAAGAGTTTGAATTTCTTGTATATGTGATTTTTCACATGTAACTATTTTTATGTAACCTGAAAATTGCTGCGATCAACAATTCTGTAGCTTTTTAATCCACCACGCTCAGTGACAAACTCTAATTGATTTTACTGGAGATTGAGCAAATATTATCAGCTACAAAAAGCATTCCAGAAGGGAATTTGACTAATTTGACAAGGTCACGTCTTCTAGCAAGGGTATGTTTCTCAAAGCATTGGATCTAAAAAAAAGAAAGACAGGGACAGAATCTCTGTGAGAGAAAATTGCAGGTTGTTTGACCCTTGCAGTGTACATTGAGCTCTGCTGACTGGTTGGGCTTTTTTCCCCTTGCAGTGAATATTTGTGTGTCACATAAAACCCTGTCTTTTTCAAAAAAGAATTTCAGGATCAGCTGAAGCTGTTTGAGAAGGAGCTCCCTTATGTCTCCCAGTTGGCACTTGAGGGTCTTTTAAAAGAACATGAGCAAAAGCTAAGCTATTCTACTGGTCAGATTTGGCACCTCTTCAATAAACAGCTGGAAGACTGGGAGAATGTGAAGGTATGTACCATGGACAAACTGGAATGCTTCCAGTCTAAGCAAAGCTAAATGCATCAGAATTATAAAAGTTGCTTTTTATTAATCTCGCTATTTGCCTGATCCCTTACTGCTGAGCGAGCCACAGGTTCAGTGTCTGTGTTTGAAGTTAGTCTGCATAGTTTTACTGGAAGGTTTGTCTTTCTGGTAACCCACTCCCTTCCCTCACTGCTTCCAGCACTGGCCTGCCTCTTTGTAATCTTGTACAGCTCTGCCTGTCATCTTACACTTAGATTGTGACATGTGGTGTGGCTACACAGCTTGTACTGTACAGGTGCACTCATTTATAGGCACCGTAAGACATGAATAATAAAATACCATTACTTACTATCTGTCAAGAAAGAGGTGTGTTTTGTCCAATAATACCAGAACTGGGGACGGAATCGTAATGGAGATTGTGCAGAAAATGCTGGAGAGGAGTATCTTGAGATTTTGTCCTTCTGAGTATTAAGTTAAATTCAGGAAAAAATACAAATACTACAAATTTTTTTTGAAAAGTAAATCTTGGTAGGAAAGGTTATTATTTGTTGAAAACAAAATCTGAGGTGAGGTGAGAGGCCTTGTTCTCCAGCAGGTAGGCAATTTGGTGAATACTGCACTGCAAGGTTTTATCTCTAGACACCCAAGGAATACACTAAATTTTGTCATTCTGAATACTTTCACATAAAATGTGTGGGTTTTACTTCTTCCTTATCATGACTCAATTGCACATTCTTTATTGAAGGCATTTCTTTCTTACGTATTTACTTAAAGGCTGCGCACCAGAATCAGTTACATCCCTCTCTGGGACACCCGGACAACTTCCTTCAGCTGGATGCTTTGTGCCAGGAGGAAATAAAAAGGCAAAAAGACCAAGTTGATGGTATTAATCTCAACATACAGATGCTGCAGGTAATTGTAAAGCCATTGCTTGATACAGACTAGATGTTGCACTTTGAAAGGAGAGTGCATCTTGGATACATTTTTACCCCCATAAAAAGTAAACTGGAAAATGTTTTCAGTTTTCAGGCAATCCTTTTCATAGGTACTTTAATTTTTAAGTTATGTAATATCAGCATTAGATGAATATATATGTAAACGTACATGTACACGTGCATAGATTTATTGTGGAACCAACTGACCTTTTCTATCATGCCTAGAACATGCTGAGGAAGAGATGACTTATCTCTTAATGGTAAAAATATTGGGTATAATTCTAAATTTAGAGTAATAGTGATATCCCCTGGTTAGTTATTTTACCTGCAGATGACAGATGTCTGGAAAGGTTTCTTCTGTGTGCATTTCATTAGTGCAAATAATTGACATTTTTCTACATAAGATCAAGAACTGGAGTAAGCAGAATTTTAGCTCTGTGTACGCACGCACCCTTTTTTAGAATAAGACCTGTCCAAAGCACTGCCACACAAAGTATCTGTATTCCAATGTGGCATTTTCTTTGGGTGGAAGGATGCATTTACAGATAGCTCTTTTTTCCCAGGTTTGGATGCTTAAACCAAATATGCAACTACTGGGCAACTATACACAGAACTCTATAGGTTTTTGTGCTCTACTGTAGGCAGCGAGGTGATGTTGAAAATAGTGCAGAGAGGCACTTTTAGACCTTTTATGTGCCAATTGGAGCCTCAGGTCTGTTATTTGCAGCTGTTGCAAAATGTCGGGGTTGGATTTTTGCGTAGTTCTTTTGGAGCTAAACTAAACCAAGAGGAGACCAAATCAGCAAAGGAATTTCTCTCGCTTGTCTCCGATGTCCCAACAGAACTGTGCTGCTGAGTGTTCTCAGAACTTCGTTTCTGCACTAGCTGCCCTCACTGAAAAGCTGCTTCTGGAATTGGATGGAAGTATCACTATTGATGATGTACAAGCAGCAAGTAAGTAGAGATTTCTTGTTCAGGCCTCCACTTCCTTCTCAAAGATTGCAGCGGATTTTGTCTGGGAAGAGGAGACTTTTATATGCTCTAGGACTTTAAATGGAAAGATTTGCATCATCAGACATGCAAAGCTATTTTTTGAAAGTGAAGAGCATCTAGCTGTGTACAGTTACTTCAGAACGATATTACTGCTGTTGTTCTGTTGCTGCTGAGTCTATCTCATGTTATCTCCCAGAAACTGAAATCCCAAAAGAGAAGACATCCCCTTTAATCCATCGTAAACAAGCTGGACTTCATCTAGAAACCTGTGAAGCTGAACAGTTAATTGAGCGTGGAGGAAGGTAATATTTGAAGATACTGAACACTGTTCTATGTAATTTTACTTCTCTAAACTGGTAACAAACAGTTTGCTCATTTTTTTGCTGCCTTGTTGAAACTGCTGAATACCATGTTCATCACTAGTGTTGTCCTTTAATTAGTTATGGTGCAGTCTGGGTGGGTAATGATCTTTAAAAGAAAAGGTAGTTGTACTAAATAAGGTAGGTTTTAGAGGAATCCTTTTGTGGAGATTAAAAGAAATAGATTAATCTTCTGCACTTGAAGTAGAAGTAACATAAATTAGTACGTTCTGCTCTCTTTTCTGGTTTTCTCATGTGGCTCGCTTGTTTGTTTGTTTTATAGGACCTGGCCAGGGATACCCATGACTACTCTTTCAGACAGTTCAGACTATATTCTTTGCAGAGAAACTGCATCAGTTACAACAGCTAAGACTACACTGGGCCATGTAGCAGCAGTAGAAGCAAGAGATGCTGTGTATAAGGTTGGTTTGTGGGAAAGGACTGTGAGTGAGGCTGCTAGTGCTGAGAGTTGTTTTTTTAAGAAGACATTTCTAGCTATGTATAAGGTTTTAACATACAAAGTCTTTTCAAATCTTAAAACCTTCTCCTCTAGAGAAGGCAGCTCTTTAATCTTAGAAGCTAACAGAAGTGAGATGAAGATCTTGTGCTTTTTTTGATAAAATTTAAATATTGCTCATAGTTTAGTTGCAGAAGTCTTTAAAAGGAACACAGAAGGAAGGCATCAAATAATTAATTGTTTAATTAATTAAATTCATGCAATCCTCTGACACAGTGGATTAGGACCCGGATTTAGGTAAAATTGTATTTTGTCACTACCAATTCTATCCTTTTTCGTTATTTATACAGAAATACAAATGTAAACTTGAGCAGCAGTTTGCCCAGATCAAGGAAGAAAGTGCAGCTCAGCTGCTGACAGCTCGGCATTGGGAAGATTGGTGGCAACGATCCATCCAGAAGATTAAGCAGCTGTATACACGAGATCAGCCAAATCTTGCTGATGTCCCTCCGATCATTGCTGGCATAGATTGACAAGTTTGTACTGGTGTCAGTGACGTTATAGATTCAGTCCAACAGAATTTTCAAATTTCTGTGGCACTGAACAAATGCAATAGTGAGAGGAGCTATTTTTTGCCTCTTGAAATAAAAAAACTGGCAAATGTACTGTAAATGAAACAAAGACTCTGTGCTGGGCTTCTTAGTTGGATCTCAGGTTAAGTTGAGATCAAGCTGTGGTGCTAGCTGTAATATGAGAATCTGAAAAGCTAAAAGCCCAAACAGTGGATTTCTACTGAAGTTCATGGTCAAGACTCAGACACGACTGTGTATGTCTATGTCATGGCATAGTCTGAGGCTGTAATAGTTAAAGACAGGCTGTTTAACAACAGAGCCCAGCAAGGAAACTTCTCCTTCGGCACAGATGAAGCCCTTCCCACGGATGTACTCTCTTTCTTCACATTCCAAAAAACACTGTACTCACAGCTCACTACTTCAGTTTTAGAAATCTGAAATAGCTGATCTGCAAAAAATATTTTCCATGGAATGGTCTACAAGTGAGGTATTTATCTGCAATCCAGAATGCTTTCCAAGGCAGGGCTTGAAGATAAAGTGCTGCTTTGTTCTGGGAGGTCAAGCAAGTTCGTTGGTGGTAATACAGCTATTCTCAACCATATCGCTTTAAAAACCTCTCAGAACAAATTCAAAGAAAACTGAGTAACTACTAAAAATGCTGTAGTTGTTTTTTTGTGTTTGTTAGGAGATTCTGTTATTAACTGCAACTACATCTGTTTCGTTTTTGTTTGCATTTGTTGTGAACCCCGAGAGTTGTAAATCAGTTGAAGATAAATACGGTAAACATCAGAGAGAGGGTTTTGTATGCAAGGAGATGTTCCAAACTTGTCTGGCTCCAGTGTTCTTGCATATTTGTAATAGAGATTGAAGCAAAGGGGGAATGCATCAGCTGTGCTCCTAATGATGCAATATTTCAAAATATGTGTATTACTTTTCCTGGGGGATGTTTACTCTGTAAAGATACATGGAAGTACACTATTAGAAAAGCTGAAACTGCAATAAAATAACCAGAATGCTTGTGTCTTTTTTATTATTATTATTCTATGTTAATTTTATTATTTATAATTTATTTATTATTGGAGGATAATTTTTATTCTCCTTCCTTCTATTCTCTCCTTATTTTCTTCTGTCCTTCCCCTCCACCCAAGTTCTGTGCTTTCAGTCTCTGTGTGCTGTGGTGGTAAGTGCGTGAGGATGGTCAGGGGCAGGAAGGGAGAACCCCCAGGAAACTGCAAAGCTGTACTGTGTCTTGTCTTTTCATTTATGCTTTGGGAGAAAATTAGGAGAGAATGTTTATGAAACTGGAAGGCGGTGCCAAGCCAGGAGGAGCTGCAAGCACCATGCAAGACAGAATTTGATCAGTGCTTGACATTTTGGAAAAACAAATAGCTCAAAAATGGAGTAAAGTTCTGTAAATCTCTGTGAGGCTTCCTTCACTCTCCCTGGAAGAAGCACTCTGTATCAGTTCCTCACATTAACACGAATGCTACTGACTGTCCATAAATAGGAGTTTCACTAAGAGCTGCTGTATTTTTTATTTCCCCCCACGCCCCAATCACATGCTAGAAGGTGCTTTCCTCTAACTTGAGGCTGCGTTACAGATCTGCGCCGCAGCCTGGAGAGCTGGTGTTTTGCAGGAGCTTTTTACGTGGATACAAGGAATGCTGAGGAGGTGGAAGTGAGCGTGTGCACACACAACAGGCTTCTCTGCAGCACCGTAGCTCTGCAGTCGCTAAAGGTAATAATGTGCGTAGCCTATAACGATTGACGTGCTTGTAACAAACCCCTTTGGAGCCCAGATGCAAAGGTTTTGTGTGTTTGTTACGGGTCCTGTAGCTGGCACGGTGGGAACCTTTACTTCCTTATGAACACAAAAGGAATTAATTCCCCCAGCTGAGCTAGAGGAGGTTGATTTTGTAGCTATTGAAGAGGGAGCAATTTCTTCAACTTACAGAGAGATATCATTACCGAATGTGCATGATTATTTTCATGCAATGATTCTTTGCTTGTGTTGACCTCAGTTTACTTTTTTCCTGCAGGCACCTTTGGAAGGAGCTGTCTCTGGCAGTTCCTCTCCTGTGAAAGGTGGAGTTTGTCAGCTAAAGTGATAACTGTATTAGCTCTGCATATCACCTGATAGGATTGTTTTGGGTAAGTTTGTTAAATCGTAAAGGGTGTGTGCTTTAAATGAACAAATGGAATCTACAGAAACTAGAATCAAATCAGAAAAGCTCCCCATGCACATACAGCTGTGAAGAGATCTCACAGAATGGAGTGGTTTCTCAAACCGTTTACAGGAACTGCCTGTAAGTTCCTGTAGTGGCACAGCTCTTAGAGTTGTGGTTTCTGCTACATTCCTGCTTTCAGAAAG